CTCTGAATTCTGATCTTCAAATTTTTACTTTCTAGAGTGATTGGGGTGTATGATTGCTTGAATATTCTGAAAGAGAAGAAAGCTAGAGAAGAATGTTTGAAATGCTCCTGGTAAAAATGTGGAAAATGCCAACTTCCTAGTAGATATTTAGTTTACATCGTATTAGCTGAGTAAGTGTTACTATCAAGTTTATACCCTTTCTCCGTAGTAGACAAATAATGCTATTGGATTTTGTTGTCCCTTTCAGTACAGAAATTAGAATTTTTCTAGAGAATTTTTAACACAGTATTTTAATTTCTGGTGATTAACTTCTTCTTTTTCTACATTGTGCCAAAGTATTCATTCTGTCTCCTTGTATGTTCCTTCAGAGTACTATTTTTGTATGAAATGTGTTGATATCACTTTTTATTTTGTTATACAGTTGAGGAGGAAATATGTTTCTTTATTGGGATCCACAGGCATACATATAGATGCCCCCAAGATCAGAACTGTAATCCTCTTTTGAATGACAGTATCCATATAGGGCTCAGGGTTTTTTTTTTGTTTTTTTGTTTTGTTTTGTTTTTTTTTTTTTAACCCTCTTCCCCTCCTTCAGTTAGGCATAAAAGGTAGGGAGCAATTGCAACCAGACCTCATTTCCTTTTGACACCCATGGTGGGGAGACAGAACCAGTGGTATTTGCCTACTGTTCCCTTTGTATTTTTTTTTATTTATTTTATTTTATTTTTTTTACTTAGCCTTGGGTAGATAGATATAGCAAGACTTTATTAGCCAGAAGGACCAGCTATTGTATAAAAGTTGCACTTATTTGCAGTTCAACATGTTTTAATGCTGACAGCCAAAGACAGTAAATATTTCCTTTCTTTATTCTCACGTTTTGTTCTCGCTCCCAGTTCAGACTTTTAACAACATAAAAAATACAAAAAACAAAAAGGGCAAATGACTACTTAATGCATGCTTTGTGCCTGTCCTGTAATGATTTGATTTTTCTTGCAAGTGGCTACAACTGTTTTGACTTGATGAGAGCCGCTTTCAAATCTTTGTCCTTGGACTAGCACACCAAACACTATGTCTATGGACCCGGTCCAAAACTCTACCAAACTGAACAGGCCTTGTGGAAAACTTAAGACTTTAAGATAGAGGATTGAAGTCTGAGATGGATCTGACTCCTGTTATGTCCTCCTCTGGCAATGTCCTTGGCAATTGGCATGTGACTCCCCCAAGAGCAGTACTGCCAAAAGATCACTGGTGTCAAGCAGGGATCTGGAACTTAATTACACCCACATTGACTTCTGACACTGAAACCAGTACTCTTTCTGTGTAGCAAGGAATGCAGAATATAGGGATAGACATGGTTCTTGGCACCAGCCATTCAAGCTCCCATAAGGAAAAGCCTGATATCTGTCCATCAGGAAACAAATCACTAAGAATCCTCCCTTGAAAGTGATTGATGGTGGTCCAGCTCCAGGTACCTGTGTCTGTAAATATCACTGACTGCCAAGCAATGATGTTGATGCTGGTGGCAGCTTCAGCATCAGTACTAGTACAAACTGTGGAATCCCTAACAAGGCCTGCTGGTTCCACCCTAGAGGAGACTGTCTCTTCTTGTGATGCCCTTGATATTGATGCCTTCACAGTAAGCAGTCTTCATGTCAAGTCTATTATTTAGTGCCTTGGTTTAAGTAGTTGCTTTTAATCTTGTTTTGCACTTGAACTTTTTGGCTCTTTTCCTGAAGAGTGTTCATTCTCATGTTGATTGGCAGATGAGCATAATCTTTGTCAAAATTAGTATCTTTTAGTAATGATAACACAATGTATGCATTTAAGCAATTTAGTAGCATAATGTATATATTTCAGATGTTAATTTTTAATTGCTACTATGTTAGGAAAGAATTGTGAAATATTTGATGCACTAGATGATGACTTTTTTTTTTTTTAACTGACTTGTCAAAATGCACTTGGAAACAGGAATTAAAATCACATAAACAGCACTTAAATTTGTTTTAAATACAAACCACATATTGCGTATCCAACATATTTAAGTTAATTACATTTAATTAATAAAAAAAGTGATTCATTAAACAAAGAAAATGCTAATTGTATTTGGTGAACTGCTTTGTTTCTGGTCAGCATAGGGCAGATTTAGTTATCCAGTAGGATCTTCAAAAAGGTTTTTGCTGGGTTTCTTCCCCTTAAAAGGAGTTTGATTTGCATTTAAAAAACCAATTACAACTAAATAAATTCATTTTTATTGTTTTAATATATCTTGCTACATGAACTCACTAAAAGTTGCTCATTTCCCTTGATGAAATCTGCCTCCCATCACTTTTAGTGTCATGCCTTTTCTTCCAGGCCTCTTCCTTCTCTGATCAGGAGAAAGATGCTAAAAAAGCAGTGCCATAGCAAGTGGGGGGAGGGGGGCAACCACTTTAGGTGTTGAAACAAAAGGGTGCCAACAGGTGCTGCCCAACTGGGGCAGGGTGCAGGATGGCGCCACAAGTGGCTTGTCTGGAGGGATGTGGAGCCAGGGGAAGGGTGGCTCCTGCTGCTGCATGCAGTCCTGGGCAAGCATGGGGGAGGCAGGGCATGTGCCCCCCAGGATCTGTGCATGGGGTGAGGGCCAGCTGCTGCTGTGAGCTTTGCCCCAGGCACCAAACATCATTGGTATGGCCCTGCTCAAAAGCTCCTCTTTAGAGCTCTTAAATACTCAGTGTGTGTGTGTATGTATGTATGTGTGTGTGTGTGTGTGTGTGTGTGTATATATATATATATATATATATATATGTGTGTATATATATATATATATATATATATATGTGTGTATATATATATATATATATATATATATGTGTGTATATATATATATATATATATATATATGTGTGTATATATATATATATATATATATATATGTGTGTATATATATATATATATATATATATATGTGTGTATATATATATATATATATATATATATGTGTGTATATATATATATATATATATATATATGTGTGTATATATATATATATATATATATATATGTGTGTATATATATATATATATATATATATATGTGTGTATATATATATATATATATATATATATGTGTGTATATATATATATATATATATATATATGTGTGTATATATATATATATATATATATATATGTGTGTATATATATATATATATATATATATATGTGTGTATATATATATATATATATATATATATGTGTGTATATATATATATATATATATATATATGTGTGTATATATATATATATATATAATATGTATGTATGTTGAAAGGGCCTGGTCAATGCCAGCTGAACCAGACTTATCGGTACAGGTCACTACCATGGCCCAATTGGGCATCCCAAATGTTTTTGTTCTGATCTCCCTCCTATCATGTGAGGAAGCAGAGATATTGAATTTTAATCCGTATCTTTGACCAGATCCCCACCATTGATAATGACTTGAGGCGATGTGGGCCCCAGAAGCTCAGGAGTAATATCCTTGCCCTCTTAAAGACTTATTGTCATTCTCCCTGGATTAATCTTTCTGGCCCTCTTTTCCTGTAGTTTAAAGACTTCAAATTATTGAGGTACTCCTCAAGCATTGCTGAATTTCTGATACTGAGACAGCAGTTAGAGAAGTGTGTCAGGGGTACGGGATAGAAGGTAAAGAGACTCTGATATTCTGCATTCATCTGCTTCTGCTCAGGTAGCCATGCCTCTCTGACTAGGGACAGACATTCAAAAAGCCAGAGCCTGAATTGATTCAATCTTTGCAGGTTAGTCTAACCTAACTTGGTTAAATCACTTTAACTGCACAGACATCCCAGAAACGCAGGCACGTGTGCAGTGGCTCAGGCTAGAAGCTGGGGAGGGGGCGCTAGAGCAGCCCTCCCTTCCATTCTACAGGGCTTAGCTGAGGGGACATGGCCCCTCTGTGATTAGGGAGGGGTTCCTCCCCTTGATAACAGAGCATTTATCAGCTCCGTTATCAGCATTTAACACCCCATCAGAAAACAAAGCCTTGCTCATTACAAGCTGTTCTTAAACAGCTTTTTCCAAAAGAAGGAATGCAGGGACATTACCATCTGAGCTGCTGATTACCTTCAGAAAGCCCTAAGTGGACACTGTCTACTTATCATTACACAGCATTAGCTAGCATACCACATGCTGGCTACAGTTTTTGGTGTGGGGGAGAGGAGGAAGGGATCTCTACTTAAGTGGTATGGGGGGCAAGGGGAAGCCAACAGATCCTGCTGTGCTTGCATGTCTCTGCTGGAGCCCCTGGCTAGGGAGCAGAGGGGAAGGGCCAGCTCTGTGCAGCAGAGAGCCCTGCCCAGCCCAGCCCAGAGACATGCTGGGATGCTAGGAGTGTCTGGTTTAGCTTAAACCAGTAAAGGGTCTGAGACAACTGATTTAGGTCAAACCGGTTTATGCAGTGTAAGTCTGATACTGCATTCAACCAGGCTTATCTCAGACTAGTTTCAGCCATTTTCAAACTGGTTTCTGTGCACTGAATATCTGTTCTGTTACAGGTTTAAACCAGTTTCTGATAACTTAAACTGGTTTATGTGTAACCTCTGTCCCTAGCCTCTGTGGCATCTTAGAGCTGGCTAAGACCTTGTGGCAGACACTAGATTCTCTACCTCTTAACCTTTCTCTACGCTCTTAAAACTTATTAGATGGCCCATAAAGGAATTGATTGGAGAGCTAGTGGAGGTGCATGTGTGATCAGGTGATTATATCTAATCACTTGAAGATATAAATCTGATGCTGTACACCCTGGCTCCTGTATGCACTCCTCCGAGTGTGAAAAAATGTAAGTAAGCAGAAAGCCCGCAAAAGATAAAGACTCTAGGGAACTGGATTTAGTTTGAATAAGTGCCTGTTTGTCTGCACTACTGTAGCTATAAATTACCAATTAGCAGGCCATCTTTGCAAAATTATTTCACATGGGACAGGCTGTATCCTTTCTTATCTCTACAGATCTCAGAGAGAAGCTGAAAGAGATAATTGGGGAAAGCCAAATAGTAACAAGAAAAACAGCCATGAATTCTTGGAACATACCAGCTGGATGCGTGACTGTCACTGTGACCATGCACACAGATTTATAGCTACAAGCCTTGGGAATTTCTAAAGAGCTGCAAAAAACATTAATTAAAGGATTTGCATTTTGAGGAAGTAGAACTGGTCAGTATTCCTTCAAAAGCTCTAGACTGCATTGGGTTTTTTGGGGGGAGGGAGGGCATACTAACACCCCCCTCAACTGCAAGTTCTTCAGATGTAAAGGCTGTTGCAGTCATTCCCTACTTAGATGGCCACCTACCTCCAACCTTCTGGGCGGCATGTATGATGAGAATCAAGAACTTTATTTGAACCTCCTAGATGGTCTTACTTCTCACCTTCACCCTTTCCAGTAGATTTAATTGGTTATTGCCATCATCCATCTGCCTATTGCTATACCCTGGGCTGTTGTTACACATACAAATTCTTCCTATCTAATCCTCTTCCTCAGGGACTGTTCTCCTGAAAGCCAGCTAGAACAAAGAGGCTTTTCTCCATGTCCTTTAAAGATCTCAAAAAAAACATTTTGGAGTACATAGAAGTTTGTTTTCCTCATAATTCTTTCTCTTGAAGGTAAAGAGTGGAGTCCTATTCTAGACCTGAGAGAGTTGAACTGCTATATACTGTCACAGAATCAGAAGGTAACTTTTTTTTTTTTTCCCCTTCCTAAAACTATTCTTTCTAGCTCAAAGTTGGCTTGTAGTTGCCAGCTTCTGGAATGCATATTTCTGTGCTAAAACCCATCTAGCCCACAGGAAGTACTGTATCTGTGATTCACAGTGGGACACAGTCACCATTAGTATAAGATGTTTGGTTTCTCCACAGTATTTAAAGTCATTCCAAGAACACTGAGCTGTAGCAGTATTGTATATGAGGAGATGATGCATGAATTCATATTCATATCTAGATGATTTAGCTGATACAAGATAGATCCAATCAGGAGGTTTTTGAAGCCTTCAGCTGAGGCAGCTGAAGCATTTAGTGAACTACAAGAAAGTCTTTTGTTGTGGGGTTTTTTTGTGTCCCCCCCCCCCC